CATGAGGATGACTCGGGTCGGCGGAAATCGGCAGCCGAGTCGGGAAAAGTCGAATCGGCGGACATCGGCAGGCCAGTAGTGCCTCCACTGAGAATCGGATCCCAAATCGGAATCCCAAGTTCGGAGATGGACAGACCCCCCTTTAGTAAAACGTGGTTTAGTGAAAACGACCTGAGGCCCAAACCTGGCGGGCGCAAGCCTGGAAAACAACGGCCACGGCGCCCTCTCGAGAACCGAAAACGGACAATTCACTAATCGACGTGTCACTGTTGGGGGTTCTGTCCACCCCCGACAAGTCCAATCGAAGCGGAATCGGAGGCCATGGAAATCGAATCGAATCGAATCGGAGGAACCGAAACGCGCCCTGCCCAAGGGGGGGGGGCCGGAAGGGTGCCCTCGCCCTGCCGGGGGTGCACCACTCGCGGGCCGCACGGTGGTGTGAGCCTCTGCGCATGGCCCCGAGCGGCCGACCGCTCCTCCTCCTCCTCCTCCTCCTCCTCCTCCTCCTCCTCCTCCTCCTCCTCCTCCTCCTCCTCCTCCCTCCTCCCTCCTCCCTCCTCCCTCCTCCCTCCTCCCTCCTCCCTCCTCGACCACGGCGGCTCGCCAGCGCGCAACGCTGCGACGGCTTCCACAAAGTGAGCGACGGCGTCTCCCAAACACACACAGGCTTCAACGGAATGATGGGCTTCAACGAACTGGTGGCTTCAACTTCAAGGACATGATCGCTTCAAACAGACCCTGATGGCTTCAACGAAATGATGGGCTTCAACGAACTGATGGCTTCAACTTCAAGGACATGACCGCTGCAAACAGACCCTGATGCTTCAACGGAATGATGGGCTTCAACGAAATAATGGCTTCAACTTCAACGAACTGATTGCTTCAAACAGACCCGGATGGCTTCAACGAAACGAGCGACGGCGTCTATCAGACACAGACACACATGGCCGCCACCGCCATGGCTGTTGCAGGTGCACGCTTGCGCAAGCATGCAGACGCAGTCGCCGGCTCGGTACTCCAGAACGCTGGCACGCGAAAGAGCACGGGGGCGGCCAGCCTTGGGTCGATCCTTCTCCCTGTCACTGGCCCGCTCCTGCAGCTTGGCAACCCAGCGGGATGAACAAAACGAACAAAACGACAATCAACGAGTACCGATACCGCTGCTCCCTGGACATCTCCCGGGGTGCGCTCTCACCCGAGGCGAATCCAGCGGTGGTGACGGGGGCCCCCCAGGAAGCCAGAAAAAAAGGCAAACGGGCGAAGAGCAGCGGTATGGGTCCCTTCTCCTCCGCTGAACTTGGAAACTACAGTCGGACCTAGGCCAGGAAAACATCCCTCAAGAACACGGAGCGGGTGGGAGCAATCTGGCTAAGCATGAGGTTTTCGGAGGTCCGCGCGGATTGCTTGGATGGGCACCGCCGCTCCCCCCCTCTCCCTGGCGCTCGGAGCGCGCCAGGGGCGGCGCTGCTAGGTGTGGGGGGGGGGGGGGCAACGCCACTCCAAGGCATCCGCGCGGAGCTCCGAAAGTCTTTGTTCGTGCAGATTTCCTGCTGCGACGACAGGCAAGGTTCCCCGATGCGGATCCACTGTGCTACCAATCGTGCAATGGATGGATACGACAAATTCGTGTGGCTTGGGTGCACATGGGGCGCAGAGATGGAGGACCGTGACAAACGGCAGAAGCAACGCCAACCTTGGCCCGATCTTTATCTTTGTCGCCTCTTCTGTCGCTGTCCTGAGATGGAAGGCACATACGTGTTGACAATCAACATGCGATCTGGAAACCACTCGCCACTCCTGGGAACATTGCTTCCATCCGCTTTTGCTGGCATCTCGCTCAAGTCAACAACTATATTTGACATCTCGCTCCATTCAACGACATGCTCGAACGATCCGGAAAAACCATTGGCGACCTGGGACGAGAGACAGAGGGGGAGGAGGACATGGAGGACGCACAGGATGGGGCGAAGCAGGAACGAAGCCGCGCGGTTGCGGCGATGGGGCCGCCGCGGGCGCAAGGACTGAGAGGTTGCCAGGGGTGATCCTGAAGGGGCCCCAGGACACACAAACAAATACACGCAAATAAAACTATCCCCCATATTTTCCCATATGTTCTGGGCTTTTGCCTTCCCCACCACTTCCCATATTTTCTGGGGGATCGAGGATTCATTGTGTCTGTGTGTTTTTTCCCTCCTGAGATCCTGGCTCAAAATGCCCCCTGAAGAGAGCCGGCTGCGGCAGCCGACACGGCAGCCTCCCGTAGACCCAGACCTCCGACGACTCCGCGTAGGCTCGAGCCCCAAGGCCACAGACCTCTCGACCCCTCCTCCTCCTCCTCCTCCTCCTCCTCCTCCTCCTCCTCGTCCGCACTCTGGGTTTCTTCACAAGCGGTGGGGGGGTACCCCCCCGACGGGGGTCAACCTCGCCTCGTCGTCGCGCCACGACGGAGCGCGCGCAGTGGCTACCCGCGACGGGGGTCGACGTGGGGCTGTCGGCGGGGGTGACGCCCCCCCGACGTGTATCAAGAAGCTCGGAGTACCCTGGGACTGGCTCGTGCTGCCTTTTCACGGCCCCCCGCGGCCCGATACGGGCCGCCAGAAGCCAACGATGCATAGAAACTTCGGACTCTATACTTCGAGTCCGCGACGAATTGAGCAGGGCCCGACCGTCCCCGCACTCCTATAGTTCTGCCACGAAGGGCTTTTAGAACCCAAAAATATTCGAAGAACACAAACAGCGTGCTTGAAACAGAAGCCCGATGCATAAAAAAACAAGAAGGTCTAAGCCAGAGAAGTGCTCTAAGAACCTTGCGTGCAAACCACAAACAGTTCTTAGAACAATCCTTGGTGAGCCTCTAGGCAAGCCAGGACATTTCGCCACTGCTCGAAGGAAGGACCCCCTCCGGAAGTGAGCTGACCGCGGGCGGGCGCCGCCGGGAGGGAGCCGCAGACGACACCGCTCGGGGCCGACCCTCGTCGCGGCGCCCCTGCGCCCAGCGGAGAGCGGGTTCCCTTGCGAATTAGTGGGGGTGCGATAAGCGAGGGGGGGGGGGGGAGGAAAGGTGCCCTTTTCAGGCCCAAGAGGGCCCCTCTTGGGTCCTGAGGGGCCCCGTAGGAGACCTGAAGGGCCCCTTTTCTGCAGCCCTCGCTGCCCCCCCATGCATCGCCCCCGCATGAACTCGCGCCCAACAAGCGACGATCAAAGAAATCCGGGCGGGCCTCGAAGCCCTCAGTGTATCATGTTTGATTGTTCGATGTGCCGCGCTCTCTTCCTCTGAGCTCTCCTGGGCACGGGGCAACAGAACCCACCTGCTCGCGGCGTTTCAACCGTCGGGCTCAGATGCGCAGAGTCAAAATCGCAAAAGATCCCAGGCAACGCGAGGTCAAGTCAGCGCTCTGACGACGGAATTCCCTTTCAGCGTGGTGACCCTGGCCCTAACGATCAGGCAGGTGACTCGCAAGAAAAGCGAGTTAGTCCTTCTTGCCGTCTCGATCCCGGTCGCGACGGTCTGGCAGAGACGAGGCAGAGGCAAGTAGCGCAGAGGAAACGAGAGGGAGCATAATGACTCGTCGAAGTAAAACACAAGGTATGCGCCTGGTCGCATGACATCGTATCCTCCTTCTCCTCCTCCTCCTCCTGCTCCTGCTTCTCCTCCCCCTCCACTCTACTCTTTCTACGCATCCCTCCTCCCACGGACCCTCCAAACCTCCGTCCTTTCCCGATTCACCTCAAAGATTCGGCCCCATGACCTGTCTGGGGGTGCGCTCCAAACGCAATTCTGATCAGCCGTGGCCACTGGAGCATCCCCAGGGACCTGCTCAGGGGAGGGGGAGAGGGAGGGGGCCGAGTAGCTCAGGGAAGGGGGAGGGGAGAGGGGAGGGGAAGGGGGCCAATTAGCTCAGGGAAGGGGGCCAATTAGCTCAGGGGGGGGGAGGGAGGGGGAGGGGGCCAATTAGCTCAGGGGGAGGGGGACCGGCTCAGGGGACGGGGAGAGGGTTTTTTTGGAGCTCAACGCCCGCACAGCCTGGGTGAAAAAAGACGCAGCAGCGGCGGCCGGGAAACCACTGCTGGCAGTGACGGAGACCTCACTGACCGAAAGAGTACCTCGGCGGTGGGCCCCCCAACGCGCGACTCTGCACGTTCCTGGGCGGGGTGGGCTCTCGGGCCCCTCTCGTCGACGCTCCACGGTCGCCTGGGGGCCAGTGCGCCCCGCCCCTCCCCCCCCAGCGGAGGGCAACACATCTTTGATCAGCAGGGCGAGAGCGAGCCTCTTCCGCTCAAAGCTCCGCGGGACGCGTACAACTTTAACTGTAGAGGGCAACGCGTCCACCCCCAAAAACGATCACCCCGACACGCGAAGCCGTTTAGGAAACGCACCCAACGGAAGGAACCGAACAGGGCAGTGCGGTCTGGTAAACGCCCAGGGCCGACTAATCAACACCCGTTGTCGGGTCCTGGTGGTTCTTCCTTTCTTGACCCATGAACCGGGCGCCCATAGGGGCGCATCTACCGCTGCTAGCCCTTGCAGCTGGGCCCGCTGTGCTGTCGCCAATTCTTGTCGCCGAATCACCGCTCCGTGCCTTTGGTCGAGACCTCCTGGATGAGGTCCGAGTAGATGGGGTCGGAAGGTCGCGCTGCATCGGCGATGCATCGACGTAGGAAAATCGGGTTCCGCATCGACCCGCGTCGCCGATGCATCAGCGACGCGGCGCAATCCTCCGACCCCATCTACTCCGACCCCATCCAGCGGGCCTAGATTTGGGTGGGCCTGGTTGTACGCTCTCTGCCGTCGGCGCGTTCCACGGGCGATTGCCGGCGGCGAGCGAGGATGTCCAGGGCGGCGGGACTTCTCAGAAACCCACGCGCCTTCTGTGAAGCTTTCTTCGGGAGCGGCCAAGAGGGGGGTGTCCAAGAGGGGGGGGTGCAAATCATGACCGGCGGCACGTGCGCGGCCCAGCGAGGGAGCCAGGGACGTCATGAAGTAAGAGGAGGCGCCATGAAATCTGGGGAGACATCATGGCCCCCGCCATGATATCCACGCCCCCCTAGTCATCACCCCCCTCTTTTACGCCTGCGATTTCTGTGCCTTCGGGGACGGCACTCAGAAACTTTTCAGAAGGCCGGGGGGCTCGGTTTCGGACCCGGACCTGCGAAGTGCACGCCGGCGGGGGCGCTGCAGGCGGGCACCGTGGCGCCATGGCGTGAACACTGTGCGGCGGCAGGCTCTCGGCGTGGCGCCGGCGGGGGGAAGGGGAAGGGCGCGCGAAGGGAGAGCGAGAGGGACACACGAAAAGGCGAGGACGAGGGGCGAGGCCGAGGGAGAGAGGGAAGCATGGACGAGCGACAAGAGAGACGACGGAGGAAAAGAGAATCTGAATGAGAATCTGAACGTCAAATTGAGAATCAGCATCGCAGCATCTACGGACAAGTTTGCCTTCCAATGTTCGCCAGTCGTCTGTTCTGGCAACATCAAGCCACTCTTGTTCAGCGCAACGTGTTTCAAATAGAATCGACAATCGCAGACCACCTCGTCTTCCTCCTCCCCTCCTCGTCCCTCTCCACCCCTCCTCGTCCTCCTCCTCCCCCCTCGCACCTCCTCCTCCTCCTCGCCCCTCCTGCTAGCTAGCGTCTTCCGACACCTGCTCCTCAACATCCTCGTCGTCCTCGTTGTCGCCGTCTTCAGGGTCGGCGGCATCGGTCGTAAAGCCTTCGCAATAGAATCGACAATCGCAAATCATCGGACCATGGCTTCTTCGGGTGGCACGGGTGCAGGCGAGCATCCCCATCAAGAGATCTGCTTCTGGATTCCACAGCATCGCCTGTGCCATCCAACTGCTGTTGTCTGATCTAGAATATTTTGAGCCCATTATCATGTTCATTGTGGTTGAATTGATGCCCAATCTGCCACATTCAATCGTGTAAGCACTTCTTCCACTTTCATTGTTGCTCTGCGGATCCAGTCCGCCAAAGCTCCAGCCCGTCGTCGTCGCTCTCGTCTCCCGGGTGGTCTGGGATCTGCTCGTCGTCGGTCGATGCCGTCGAATGTCCCATGGATTCTGGCTCCGTCGCGGTGGCCACCTGCTGCGTTTCGCCGTCGCGGCATTTGCAAAATCATGCAGAACATCTGTCTCTGTAGCCTGCGCAATCGGTTCTTCATATCCGCTGTCATTGTCCAAACTTCACAACCATAGAACACCGTGGGCGTAACTGTTCCGTGAAAGAGCCGCATTATGCTGTTGAGTGAGTAGTGTGTCCCATCAATTTTTCCCGTTGTGCAAAGAACTATCTCCAACCTGCAGAGAGCTGGGGGACTTCCGAGCCTTCTGAGAAGGCCTTCTCCTTCTCACTTCCCCCCCTCGCTCGCCGCCGAGATTAGGGCCCATGCGTCCCACCCCCCAACGTTGCCCCCACCGTCGCAGTCCCCCCTGAGGCGGAGGCCCTCCGGGTCTTCGGCACCTCCTCCACGGGGCCCCCTCCCCCTCTAAGACGAGGCCAGAGGCAGGATAACATCGGGTGAGGATGAATCGAGATTCTCTGAACCCCCAAGTCGAGCCTTCCGCCCCGAGAGGCGGCCCCAGGAGGCTCCGAGAGGCCCCAAGAGAGCCCAGGAGGCCTCCTGGAGGCTCCACGAGGCCCCCCCAAAAAGCAATTAGCCTGGCGAAGGACCCAACCATATGCAGCTGCGAGTACCGCGCGGATATGAGACGAAGGAGGGGGCACGCAAACTAGGCCCCTCTTCTCATAGGCACCGCGCCACTGGGGCCTTCGGTGGAGCTCCCTATGGGGCCACGAAACGTGTGAAGGGTGTGCCGTGGGGAGGCATGCGGACCCTGCCACTGGGGCCTTCGGTGCTCCCTATGGGGCACGAAAATTGGTGGTGGGGAGGCATGCCGAAAGGGGTGTGCCGAAATGGGTGGTGGGGAGGCATGCGAACGCAACCACTGGGGCCTTCGGTGGAGCTCCCTTATAGGGCCACGAAACGTGTGAGGTGTGTGCCGAAATGGGTGGTGGGGAGCCACTGGGGCCTTCGGTGGAGCTCCCTATGGGGCCACGAAACGTGTGAGGGGTGTGCCGAAATGGGTGGTGGGGAGGCATGCGAACGCAGCGGCTGGGGTCTTCGGTGGGGTTCCCTATGGGGCCACGAAACGTGTGAGGGGTGTGCCGAAATGGGTGGGGGGGAGCATGCATGGGCCTTCGTGGAGCTCCCTAACCGTGTGAGGGGTGTGCCATGCTGCGGCAGCCTGGGGCCTTCGGTGGAGCTCCCTATGGGGCCACGAAACGTGTGAGGGGTGTGCCGAAATGGGTGGTGGGGAAGCATGCGAACGCAGCCACTGGGGCCTTCGGTGGAGCTCCCTATGGGGCCACGAAACGTGTGAGGGGTGTGCCGAAATGGGTGGTGGGGAGGCATGCGAACGCAGTCACTGGGGCCTTCGGTGGAGCTCCCTATGGGGCCACGAAACGTGTGAGGGGTGTGCCGAAATGGGTGGTGGGGAGGCATGCGAACGCAGCCACTGGGGCCTTCGGTGGAGCTCCCTATGGGGCCACGAAACGTGTGAGGGGTGTGCCGAAATGGGTGTGGGACGCCATGCGAACGCAGCCACTGGGGCCTTCGGTGGAGCTCCCTTATGGGGCCACGAAACGTGTGAGGGGTGTGCCGAAATGGGTGTGGCGCCGCCATGCGGCGCAGCCACTGGGGCCTTCGGTGGGCTCCCTATGGGGCCACGAAACGTGTGAGGGGTGTGCCGAAATGGGTGGTGGGGAGGCATGCGAACGCAGCCGCTGGGGCCTTCGGTGGGGCTCCCTATGGGGCCACCAAAACGTTTAAGGGGTGTGCCGAAATGTGTGGGGGGAGGCATGCGAACGCAGCCACTGGGGCCTTCGGTGGAGCTCCCTATGGGGCCACGAAACGTGTGAGGGGTGTGCCGAAATGGGTGGTGGGGAGGCATGCGAACGCAGCCACTGGGGCCTTCGGTGGAGCTGCCTATGGGGCCACGAAACGTGTGAGGGGTGTGCCGAAATGGGTGGTGGGGAGGCATGCGAACGCAGGAGAGAGGAGGGCGAGGAGAAGGAGGAGGAGAAGGAGGAGAAGGAGGAACGCGGGGACCGTTTCTTCAAAACGAGGACCCAACACCACAGGATGGTTGGGAAAAAGAAGCCCCAAGAGGCCCCCAAACGGCCATCGAGAAGCCCCACGAGGCCACGAACGCGGCGCAGGCAAACGCCTGCCATGGGCCATGGGCTCAGTACGGGCCGGCGGAATGAGCGAAGCGATTTAAACAATCGTCTACGGACAAATCGAGACTCTCTGAGATCCCGCGGCTCAGGAGCATGTCTCGGACGCCGCGGCCTTGCCAGAGCGCTCTGGAGCGCTCTGAGAGCGCTCCGGAACGCTCTGGAACGGATTTATCCTCGTCCTGGCCTCAGGTCGGGCATGTTCCCCTACAGGGGGATGTTGGAAACAAATCAAAACAGAAATGCTCAAAAAATCGTCCCCTGACTATTGGACTCTTTTTTGAAAAAATACGCCGGGGAACTTTCAGAGTACACGCCACGGTGGGCAAGCCGTGCTGCCTGGGCCCACCCGCTCCGCTAGGGTGTACAGAGTGGTCAGTGGCACCTCCTGGTCTGAGGTGAGCGTTGCCGGTGACGTTCGCGGAGGTAACGCCCCCCACCATCCCGCTGCCGCGCACTCCCCTGTGCTGGCCGGGGTCGTGGGGGCCCTCCCCTCCCCCCCCTAATTCGGTGCAGGTGGCCTGTCCTGGGCACGGCGCCACGGCGCTATGCACGCTCGGGCAGCGCGCGCCGGACAAAAATGAACACTCCCCTTGTGGAGGCACAGGCCCGACTTCGTCCTGGCCCCGTCCGACCCCCTCCGCCTCACGAGCTCGCCTGGCGGCCCTCGGGGGCCAGGATCGGCCTTAGGTCGGGCATGTCCCCTGCAGGCGGATTTTAGACGAAAAATAAAACATCTGTTTAAACAATTAGCAAAAATACAAAAAAAGAAACTATTTTTGAATATTCCTCCTGTAGAGGGACACGCCCGACTTAAGATCTGCCTCCAGTCGGGGGTTGCTGAAGGCAGGTGCCCCCCGGCTTCTCGCTCCATCTTGGAGGCCCTGAGGCCCCAGGGGCCTCGCGAGGGGTGCTCTGGAGGCCACGGGGGCCTGCCTGGAAATCCTTTGGGCACCTTGGGCTAGGGGCACGTCCAGCAACACCTGATCCAGGGAGGATGGAACGGGGGGAACAAGCAAACTGGCGAACGGGCAACACACCCCTCATACCTGCATGGGCTGCGGGCGACAACAGTATTGTTGGCGCGCGTTGTCAGACCCCGAGAAGGGATCCCATCTGAGCGGGGATCCCCATCCGACAATACATCACAGCCGCCCCCACCCCGAGAAGCCTGGGGGTCGCATAGGTGTGGGTGCTACGACCCTCCTCGAAACCACACGTAAGTTTTTTGCTGCTGATCGACGCGCGGCACGCGGCCAGCGGGGTCAGATGTATGTGTCTGCAGTCGCCGGTGTCGGCGAAAGCACTGAAATTTGGGGGTCCCAGGGCGCCGCCGCGTCGCGGGAAAAACCTTGCGTCTGACTTCGAGGCGAGATGCAGTCGTCAGCTCATGACAGATTGCCGCAGCGATTGCTCCTTCTGCGGCGTCCAGCTGGAACCAGACCGCCAGAGACTCGGAAACATCGAGCCTGGGGCTCTTCTGCATGATCGGCCTTCTGAGGCCAACTTTTGGGTCCCGGGACTGTCAACAAGACGGCTCAAGACGAAGAGCTGGTCCGAGGGAACGGGTCGAGCGGCCTGGGTTTCCAAAACTCGAGAATTGCGGGGCGGGGACTATCCAGATCCACCGCCTGGGAACCGACGTCCTGCTGCATCAACGGGCGATGGATATGTGGATGTATATAAATAAATAAATGTATTGGCCCTCGGGCCCCCGAATGTGTCCATATCCGCCGCCTCTGCAGAACCATGGGGAGCGATCTCCCCGACGGTGGTTATGAATGAATCCTCGCCTCGGAAAAAAAAGAGTCGTCGGAGGTCTGGGTTCGCAGCGCGCACCGGATCAGCGGGCATAGTGACCCTGACGCGGATCAGCAGTCATAGCTCTCTCCCCACACCGTAATTCAACGCCCTCTTCTCCCCCCCCCCGCGTAACGCCCCTCCCCCCCCCACAGTGCGCCCTCAGGACCCGACCGAGAGGGAGATCGGCGCCTCCTTTCACTGTGCCCTCCTCCCTCCTCCCTCCTCCTCCACCGAGAGAAGCTCAGGTCGGGAGCGCTGGAGCCTTCGTCTCTGGCCTTCTCCTGGGCGGCACACGGGCACGACGCGAGGGGCGGGGCGAGACAATGGGGGGAGCGAGCGGGAGAACGAGAGATAGAGAAACAAACAAAACGAGAGACACACACAGACATGCACACACTCAGACATGTAGAGAGAAAGAGAGACAGAGAGAGAGACAGGCAGGCAGGCAGGCAGGCAGGCAGGCAGGCAGGCAGGCAGACAGAAAGACAGACAGAGGGACATATACGAACATGTGTATATATAGAGAAAGAGAGGAAGAAATGAACAGATCACGAGACAGAGAAAGGGATAGACAGATAGATGCATACAGAACAACTGTAAAGGGCATGAGTTGAGCATGCAATGAGAAGTGGCCAGGGCAGGGAGAGGGCGGGGGATTCTAACCGTTGGGGCTGTATTGCTGATGCTTATGCGATCTCTTATGATAGGTTCAGCGGTACAGACATACCCATACACACATTGCACCAGCAATGGCGTATGTTTTTACTAGATATGTTATGTGTGAGGACGTCGCCCGCGGTGTGACCTATCTAACATTGGTCCGCAACAACTGTATATATATATATATATATATTCACAGATCAAGAAAGACATAACGATACAGAGAGAGAGAGAGAAGAGTGTTGGAAAAGTGAATGGCGGCAAAGGTGGTATTGGGCTGCTTGGAGCTGTGATCATGACGAGCATGTGTGCTGAAACATGGCTCTCGTTTGCGAACGGAAACGGCATCCCCTCCGCACGAACGGCCTTCCCACTGTACGATGAAGACCAAGCCCGGCCGCTTTGCCTCCGCCTGCAACCTAGCTCCATTGCTCAACCACCCGCCATAGGCGTCGTTGGCCAAGTATGCCATACTGGCTCGCCTTAATCACACCAGTTCGATTACCAGACATATTCGCGCGCACCCCGCGCGCGCTCTGTATCTAGGTAGCTCCAGGCGTTGGGAAATTCATGTTGGAGCATGGTTGACTCCCAACTCGCCAACCCAACTGCCCTGCTTACCCTACGTATCTTGTCCTTGCTGTCGTCTCATGTAATGCACATTATTTCCTTGCCCTGCCTGCTGTTGCTTTCTCAACCCTCGTCTAGGCAGGCGAGAGGGTGCAGATTGAGAATGAAAGAGATGAATGGAAGGACAGCGGAGAAATGAGGCAGCCAGAAGGCAGGACAGAGGAGAGAGGAGGATGGAGGACCAGGAGGCATGATAGGTAGGCGGATAGGAGGAGGATATGAGGGGAAGGAGGCAGGATAAATAGGAATCACGATGGAAGGAGAAATATAATGGAAAAAGTCACACGCCGACTTGAGGGGAGTGCAGCTCCCACTCGACACGTCCTCTGGAGGTTCCCCTCCTCCTGACGCTCCTACTCCTTCTACTCCTCATTTCGCCGCATCCTCCACTCCCTCAACTTCTCCTCCTCGCGTCTGTCCGAGAATCCCCGGCCTAATCGCCAGCGTGCCAGGGTTGTGAGTCAGACGTCTTTGGGGGTTCGTTGGGATGTCGTTTTAGGGTTCTCGGGGGCGCCTTGGAAGCAATGTTGCAGCCTCTTGGGCGCTGTTTTGGAGCCTCTTGGGGCATCTCGGGGGGCTCCCGCGGGCCTCTTGGGGCCTTTGGGGAGCTCCTCGGAACATCTTGAGGCGGAAAGGTCGACTTGTTGGGCCACTTGGGAAGCCGTCGTTGAGCCCTGTTGGGCTTTGTTGGGCGACTCTTGGTCCGTCTTGGGGCTCTCCCAGGCTGTCCTGGGGCGCTCTTGGGGGCTTCTTGTGCCGCCTTGGGGCGGTCTTGGGAACTCGATGGGCCGTCTTCAGCGCCGTGCAGGCAGGAAAAAAACGTGCATGCTAAACATGGACGTCTTCCTACGAAAATGAGCCAATGTTTGCGTGTTGGGCGCCCCTTGGGAGTGCTCTTGGAGGCCTCTCGGTGCATCTCGGGCGGTTTCTTGGCACGTCTTGGGGCCATCTTGGGCGTTGGAGCGGTTCTTGAACGATTCGGATCCCTCTTGGGCCATCACGGTGGTTTGCGGGCCCCTCCTGGCGCGTCTTGGAGGGGCCTAGGTGCCCTGCCACCAGCATGGAGATTCAGATTTTGCCCGTCGGGCCCCCGGCCCTGGGCCCCAGGTGTATGTATGCTTGTCTGTATGTCTGTATGCATGTGAGTATGTGTGAATGTAAGTCTGTATGTAAATGTGTATGTGTATGTGTATGTGGAAATGTAAGTGTGTACGTGCACATGTGTATGTATGTGTGTGTACATATAAACGCTCTTTCGTGTACATGTATGTGCCTATGTGTGTGTATGTATGCTTACATGTACATGTACATGTACATGTCAGTGTATATACGAATGCCTGTGCATGCATACGTTTGTGTCTATGTAAAAAAAGCATATGCATGCTGCATACGCATGCAGGCAAAGATGTACAGGTATATGCGTGTGTATGTGAATGTGTATGTGTATGCGCATGCATTTGCATATCCACATGTATACGCATGTGAAGAAGTACGTGCGTCCGGATTGATTCGTGTATGCATGTGCATAGTTGTACCTGTATGTGTTTTATGGACTTGTGTATTACACATGTACATTCACGCATTTGGTCATGTCTAGGTCGGTGTACATACATATGTGTATGGACATGCATGTGTATATGTGTAGTTTCGATGTGAATGCAAAAGCGTATGTGAATGTGTATGTGTGTATGTGTGTATGTGTGTATGTATGTATGTATGTATGTATGTATGTATGTATGTATATGTATGTATGTGTATGTATGTGTATGCATGAACATGTATATATGTATGTATTGATGGATGGATGAATGTAAATGTTTCTGTGTAAATATAGATATACGCAAACGAACAAACACACTGCAATAGTGCAACAACGCTGCCTGAGCCTGACTTGCCGCTTGCCGCCCTCGAGCTTCTGTTTTGGGGGGCGCTGGTGCTCTTCTTACCCACCTGGACGAGCCTCACCGCCTGTGACACAACGACTCACGATGCTAACCCATTCCCCCTTGACTTCCCCAAGACGTTGGAACTCTGGGATCGGGGGTCGACGATCGACATCCAAGACCTGCCCTGAGGTGCGCTCTGGCCAGAACCTCAAGGCAAAATCCGGCCGTGGACGTGAGGGTTCCCCCAGGAACCGCAAAGAGGCTCAGGAAAAGACTTGTGGGGCAACCAAGGGCGCCCCGGGCACCCGGGCGTGCCGCCGAAATCGGCGCCATACCTCACCTAACCATATGAATCTGCTAGGACCCCCACAGTGTCATGCTCTGATTGGGGCAACCAAGAGGTACCGACACGACTACTCCCTCGACCTCTCCCGAAGTGCGTTCTGGCCAGAAATCTAGAGCGAATCCAGCGGTGGCGACGACGGCCTCCCATGAGGCCCGAGAAGAGCCATAGGCATACTCCTCTTGCGCTCCGCGCGGACTTCTAGGATCTGTGCGCGCCAGGGGAGGCGCTGGAGGCACCGCCGGGAGGGGCCCCCAGCGCGGATCCAAGAAATCCGATCGAAGCGCCAAAGGTGTATGTTTATGGCGTTTTCTCTTCTTCGAGGTGTGGGCGCCCGTTCCCCCTATGAGCTCAGGCCTCGAGCCTCGGGCTGGGTGCCCTGGCTTCTCGAGGCGAAGCGCGGCACCTCCGAGCCTCGGGGGCCCACACCTCTCGGCTCCTCCTTCTCCCCGGTGGACGGGCCCCTCGTCCCGACGCCGTCCCTCTTGCGAGCGAAGCTCCGTGTCATGCAGGATGGCGATTGATCAAAAAAGTCGGGGGGACGATTCAAAAACAGTGTCTTTGATTTCTACATGGTTGTTCAAAGGGAGGAGGAGGACGATTGAAACATATGTCTAGCACACGTCGGTTTCGAATTTTGCGTCGAATGCTCGTTTCACGTCATCGTCACATTTTGGGTTCAGTAATCATTCGACGCCGCCTTCAAATTCTGAGCATTATCTTACTTAGGGTGGAGGGCTCAGGGTGAAATCCATATGGGCGCTTGCACCTCGAAAATCAATCCATCTTGTGATTCACCTTTTGCAAATTCAAGCCTCGAAAATCCATCGAACGGCATTTCAGATTTCACCCCTTGCCCTCCACCCAAAAGGAACTGCTCGGAAATTGTACGTCAAATACGAATTCCTACGTCGGCTTCAAACTCTTACGTCAAGTACTCGTTCTACGTCGGCTTCAGACATTGTGTCTAATGCTCATTTGACGTCGCGTGCAAATGCTACGTCGGATACGCACTCCGTCCTCGGGCGCGCACCCGAGGACGGCAAGGGGGGAACGATACAAAAAGAAATGTCCCAGCCCGCGGCCGGTTTTTCCTGATCATCCTCTGGGGCGCCGCCGACGCACCACGACTCCCGGTCATTCATGAATCGCCATCCTACATCGGTGATCTTCTGACCCGGGTCAATCCAGACCCGGGTCAGCAAGAAACTACAAACTGCGCTGCAGGAGAAACAAACTGCAACGCAGGTCTTCGCAAACCCGGGTCGGCCAATAGGCGCGCGCGCGCCTCGCGGCCACGAGCGGCTCGCTAACCCGGGTCAGCCAGAGGGGGTCTTCGCAGGATCCTGCAGGATCTGGCGCCCTGGCTGACCCCCGTCTGCACTGACCCCCGTCTTAAGGCTCCCGACTACATTTAAGGGAGGCCGACGCCGGGCGCCCAGCGGTGGCTGGCCCCGCCTCCAAGAGCGACAGTCAAGAACCCACCTCCGCAGCGCCGAGGCACACCACCACCCACAAAAGGAGGCATGCAGAACGAACGCAGACACATACTCAGCTGCATCACGACGTCCCTGAGGGCGCAATGAATCATACCTTCCTGAATAAGCAGACGCTCCACTGACTCCTCCTCCTTCGGACCTCCTCCTCCTCCTCCTCCTCCGCCCGAAGACCTCCTCCTCCTCCGCCCGAAGACCTCCTCCTCCTCCTCCTCCTCCTCCTCCTCCTCCTCCTCCTCCTTCGGACCCAGGGTGCGAGGCGGGCGTAGCTCTGGAGGCCGCGTGTGCCAAAGCCGAAACCGACCACAGCGACGTTCGGGAGCCTCGTGGGAGGATTGGGCCCTCGCCATGAACAGCTTTGGAAGACCCTTGAGGCCGAGTTGGCCTGCTGCAGGCCCCCAAAAGAGCTTCTGGACTCCGAGATGGCCCCCTGCAGGCGCCAGAGGAGCTCCTGGACCCCTGGGGAAAAGAGTGGTGCCCTGGGGGTATAAGGGGAAATTCTGGAAGAGTGGGCCGCCGCTTGGGCCCTGGGACCCGGTCGCCCGGTATGGTGCACATGGCCGACCACGGCGGTGCTTCAAGCGAGACAGCGCTGACAGCGAACCACGAAACAAGGCCAAACGTCCCAAGCGAGCGCTGAAAGCGACGCCGGTGCCACGCGAGCACGAACGACGGAGCGGGGCGCTTATGGCAGCAACGAAGAGCGAAGGAAACAACCAACAACGAACACGCAACATGGACAACCAAACAAGGGCCCAAGCCACGCGAAACAGCGCCGTGGTCGGCCCTCGGACCAAAGCGTGGGGCTCGATGTGTGTTCGAATCTCTGGAGGGCTGGGCCGCCCCCCACCCCCCACCCCCCACAGAGGCGCCCCGCCCGCGCGTGCGGGCAGCCCAGGCTGCGGCGTGGCGAGTCGCCCCGCGCGCAAGAGGCATACAGTCGGCCCTGATTGGACAGGACGCGCGAGAGGACACAGGACCCTTCCGAGGGCCACATCGCCACAGGAGTTCCCAGAAGGCACGTGTCGCGAGGCACAGGACACGAGGCTACCCTTGAGCTGGCAGGGCCGACCTGCTCATCCGGGCCGCCTGTGTGGCAGGACGCGCGACTCGATGCGTGCTCGAATCTCTGGAGGGCTGGGTCGGGCCTCCCCCCCGGGCGGCGCCTTCGCCCGTTCCCTGTCCCGGTCGCGGTCGCCCGCCCGCTTGCGGTCGTCGTCCCTGTCGCGGTCCTTGCGGTCGTCCCTGGCGGGCAGGGGCGCCAAACTCTGAGCGGGCAGGAAGGAGGTCGCTGGACGCCTTCTCTCAGCCTCCTCCTCCTCCCCCTCCTCCTCCTCCTGCTCCTCCTCCTCCTCCTCCTCTTCCTCCTCCTCGTCCTCCTCCTCCTGCTCTTTCTCCTCCAGCTCGAACTCCAATTCCTCCTCCTCCCTCCTGCTCCTCCTCTAACCCCCCGCTCCTCCTCGTCCTTCCTACTCAGAGCGCCCAAATATGACTCTGCAGGCTTGGGCCTTCAAGAGCGTCTGCTGGTGCACTTCCGAGCGGCGCGTCAGCCGGAGCTCTCAGCAGCGACTCTTCCACTACCATTAGGTCGGGCATGCCCTCCTACAGGCGGATGTGGGGCGAACATTGAGAATGACACAGAAAAATACTCCCAAACACTAACAACAAATAGTCGAATAATCCTCCCCAGGCTATCTTTTGAACAATTCTCGAAGATCCCCCCTGTAGAGGGACATGCCCGACTTCACTCTGCCATGGCCTCCGCTCCCGGCCCAGGCCCAGTCGGCGGAGGCGGCCACGTCGGCGGCGGCGGCGGCGGCGGCTTCGCGAGTGGCGGCGGCTCCACCTGGGCTGGGGAGCCTCCGCCGCCTGGGTGGCCCCCAGGGCGGCGGCAGCGGCACGGGCAGCTGCGCGGCAGCGGGCGCTTCCTGGGCCGGCAGGCAGCCCTCCGCTGCTCCGCAGCTGCCCCGGGGGCAGAGGCGGCCCTCCGCAGGGCTCCGGGAGCCGAGGGGACACCCAGGAACGCCCCCCGAGCGAGGAACGCCCCCCGAGCGTCCTCTGGAGGAGCTCTCCCGAGCGTCATTCGCCCCCCCCGTCCCCCGCCAAGGCAAGCGCACATGCCGCCGATCCCGGCCAGACCCATCCTGGGCCCCAGCTCCCCGCCGCCGGTCTGCAGCTGCCGGGGGGGGGGGGGGGCTGGCAGCTGGGCCTCTCGCGCACGGTGTGCCGCAGCTCTGCGGGCGGGCGCCGTCCCTGGCAGCGCCCACCAGCGCGCCATGGAGGCGGCCGCCAGGGCCACGGGACCAGCCGGCACCGAGGCCGAGGTCAGGGGGCTGACTGCCAGGGCCGAGGCCATCCCGCCAGCCGCAGGGTTCGCCCCCCTCGGTGTTCGACGGGGGGGGAGGAGAGGAGGACGGCGGGAAGCGGGTGGGGAAGCGGGGGGGGCGGGAAACGGGGGAAGCGGGTGGGGAAGGGGGGGGGCGGGGGACGGGGGGGGGGGGATGAGTTAAACACGTCGACGCAGACGCACTGCAATCCAATCCAGAACTTGTGGCCCGAAAGCCGCTCCGAGAAGGGAGTCCCCGGAAGCCCCCCGAGGCCTCGGCGGGCCCTGCGAGGCCCTCCCCTCGGGGGCAGGCAGCCCTGGGGAGGTCTCCGGGAGCCGAGTATACCCCCAGAACGCCCCCCGAACGTCCTCTTGATGCGCTCTCCCGAAAGCCTTCGCCCTCCCGTCCTCCGTGAAGAAAAGAGAAGTACAGGACACTCGGGCTTGATTGGAGAGGACACCACGAGAAACCTTCCACGAGAAACCCAGCCCTGAGACCCCAGGACGTCCATGGATCTTTGGTGTGGGAGCGTCACGCTCTCCATCGCAGAACCATCGACATCCAAGAAACCCCAGCGCACTCAGGAGGCAAGCGGGGTGCTTCCTCGGCATGAGTCTCCACTGTGCGCCCCCCTGGCTCGGCGATGAAGGCACAGTCGAAGAAGGAAAAACGCCATAAACACAAACTTTTGGCGCTGCGCGCGGATTTCTTGAGAGACCAGCACTGAGGGGAGGAGGACGGGGCGGGGGCGCCCCAATCGCCAGCGCGCACGTGCTCTCTACAAGCTGGAGCCCTGCGGCGCCTCGCTGCGCTCCTGCTGTCTGGGTATGGCCGTGCGTTGTTGGCGTGCTTGGCCTTGACGTGAGGCCCCTCCTTACCAGCCTGGAAACTTTTGGCGCTCCGCGCGGATTTCTTGGATCCGCGCTGGACCCCCCTCCTTGGCGCGCGGAGCGCGCCAAGGGCGGCGCCGAAAGCGCCGCCAGAGCCGCCTGGCGCGGACCCAAGAAATCCGCGCGGGGCGCTAAATGTTGATGTTCATGGCGTTGTGTGCTACTCTTCGACAGATGCACCGATCATGTACCAGCCTGGAACATATCCCTATCCCTATGCTGGGCATCGCCTCATCACGATGCCAATCTTAGGGGTCCCCTTTTTTTTGGCGGGCGGATCCCCAAGATTGTCATCGCCTTTTGGCGTGTCAATCGTAAGGGTAGGGATAAGTTCGAGGCTGGTAGATCACGGGCCCAGGACGGGCCTGGCCAGGATCGGCGGCCTGTGCACCAGTCATCGGCGCCCGACTCCTCGCCGCTCCGCCCGCTGCCCTTCAGTCGGGCCTGTCCCTCTACAGGGGAATCTTCCAAAATGGTTACAGAAAAAAAACAGGGGACGTTTTTTATGATTAGTTGTTGACTATTTTCGGGGCATGTTTGTTTGAGAGCGTGAATTACCTACCCCGCTTTCGCTTCCAGGCAAAACCAAGACATACCACGCGCCTCCTCGTCAAGCTGCCTGACCAGTACAGGCCGCAATTTGGCATCGTTTGGCATCTCTTGGAAGCGAGGGTGGTCAAAAGCGAGGCAGGCTTGTTTTCCCCCGATCATTGATGACCTAGTTTTACTTCCTCGTCCACGGCCTCTCTACGGGAGCCATGCCTGAACAAACCCTGCCCCCTCTCGGGCGCCTCCTCTCAGGCGGCCAGTCGCCCTCCGTGGGCCCCGGGGCCCGCCGGCCCGGGGGCCTGCTGCGGGCAGCTGGCCGCCCACCCAGCCAGCGCCAAGAGCGGCCGTGTGGCCCCAGCGTGGGAGCGAAGCTCGCCGTGGCTCGGACGTCCGTTCCTCGTGCGCGGTTCGGCTTCGCGCGTGCATTCTTCGCAGGAGGGCCTGCAATGCTCCTCCGGCCGATGGCCCTTGCCGCCGAGAAAGCATGCACACGTCCGAGCGACGCCAAGGAGAGAATACCGACTCCGCTACAGTCGCGACGCCGAGGGAAGCAAGACCACAAGAAATCTTCCACAAGACACCCAACCCTGAGACCCCAGGACGTTCATTGATTTTTGGTGTGGGAGTTTCACGCTTTCCATAGCAAACCATCGAAACCCGAGAAACCCAGGGCACTCAGGAGGCAAGCCGGGTGTTTCTTGTCATGGGTTTCCACCACGGTCCCTGGACCTCTCCTGGGGTGCGCTCTGAACGCGACTTCGAGGAGGATGCAGCCGCGAGGGACCCCAGGACGAGAGGCGGTATCGGTGCCAATACAGCAGGAGCTCGACCACAAGAAACCTTCCACAAGAAACCAAACCCTGAACCCCAGGACTGACGGCAACGTCACGCCGTCCATCGCAGAACCATCGACGTCCAAGAAGCCCAGGGCACCCTGGAGGCAAGCAGGGTTTTTCTTGGCACGGGCTTCCACTGTACCTCCTTCCTTTGGGCGCCCGAATTATCCGGGGTAACTCGGGTCCGGGGTAACGCGGGTTTGGATTCCCGGAAAACGAACACGAGTTATAGCCCTGACCCGAGTTACCCCGGATGATTCGGGGCTCTGGACCTCCGAGTTATCCGGGGTAACTCGGGCCCGGGGTAACTCGGGCTCGGAATCCCGAAAAGCGAACCCGAGTTAGCCCTGACCCGAGTTACCCCTGATGATTCGGGGCTCTGATTCCTCCTCTGCCTCCGGAGGCCCTCCGAGGGCCTCCGCGGGGCCCCCGCGTGCGCGGGGCCCCGGCGGGAGCACCGCGAGGCCGCGGGGCGCCGCCCGGCCCGACCGAGGCCGGCGGCGCGCACCGAGGGGGGCAGGGCGAGGGGGGAAGCCTCCTCGGAGGCAGGCTGCTTCTGGCCATCGCTCGCACGTCCATGTCCTGTGCCTTTTGTTCGGCTTCGTGCGTGTTTTTTTTTTTTCGCGGAATGCTCAAGGAGGCTCCTCGATGGTTTTTTGTTCGGTTTCGCGCGTGTTCTTTTTTTTCGCGGAATGATCAAGGATGCTCCTCGATGGTCCTCGCCGAAAGAAAAAATGCACACGTCCGAGCGATGCCGAGGCTTCGTATACGAGAGGCGCCGGCCGCACGCCTGCGGGCCAGGCCCGCGCCTCTCGGCGGCGGACAAACACCTCCCTTTTGAGTAGACCTCCCCTTTAAAGCAAACGGCCCGGGACCGAACCCGACGGACCTGGACCTGCAGAAAACGACGGCCGCGACGCCCCCTCTCGCGATCCGAAAACGGCCAAATCCTTGATCGACGTGTCAGTTGAGGGATGAAACAACGACCCTACCCTGGGTTACAAGTGCGTGGTCTGTAAACCTCCTGGGAACCCCCAAAGCCTAGAGCCGCCAGGACGCGGCACATCACGCAGGGTTTACCCTGTCAGCCCACAGGAGTTTCAGCGCACAGCGCCTCGTAAACCAGGGTAGGGGCGTTTTTTACCCCCTTGAGTCAGGGTAGGAGGTCTGTCCAACCCCGAGCCTCCTACGAAGAAGGGGTGCCTCCGAGAAGCCTTCCCTCCCCCTCTGCCCCCCGCCTTGGGCGCCCGAATTATCCGGGGTAACTCGGGCCCGGGGTAACTCGGGTTTGGATTCCCGGAAAAGGAACCCGAGTTAGCCCTGACCCGAGTTGTCCCTGATGATTTGGGGCTCTGGACGCCCGAGTTATCCGGGGTAACTCGGGCCCGGGGCAACTCGGGTTCGGATTCCCGAAAAACAAATTCCTGACCCGAGTTACCCCTGATGATTCGGGGCTCTGACTGCGCGCCGCCTGGCCGAGGGGCGGGGGCGGCCTCCGCGGCTCCTTCCGCTCGTCGCGGCCCCGGTCCTGCGCGCGGCGCGCGCGGCGGCCCCGGGCCGACGGCCGTCGCCGCCGGCGTCGGCGCCGCAGGGCGTCGTTGCTGCAGCTGCTGCCGACGCCGCCGCCGTCATCGACGCGCAGCCGCCGCCGGAGCCGCAGCCGCCTCCGCCGTCGCCGTTGCCGCCGTTGCCGCCGTCGCCGTCATCATTGCCGATCCGTCGCCGCCATCATTGCCGACGCCGTCGCCGTCGCCGTCGCCGGTCGCCGGTCGCCGTCGCCATCGTCGTCGTCGTCGCCGTCGTCGTCGTCGTCGTCGTCGTCGTCGTCGTCGTCGTCGTCGTCGTCGAGGCCGTCGTCGTCGTCATCACCATTGCCGCCACAGCCGCCGTCGTGGTCGTCGTCGCCGTTGTCGCCGCTCTGGGTTCGAGGATCTAGGTGTTCGGACATGCTAAGCCTGTCCTGCGCCTCGCAAGGCCCTCCGAGAGGCTGTTAAGTTCACCCCCTCCTGCCGCCAAACCCCATGAGAAGACCCTCGAACCCAAGCCTCTTCAACCCTTTGAGCCTCCCCCTGCTGTTCCTCCTCCTCCTCCTCCTCCTCCTCCTCCTCCTCCTCCTCCTCCTCCCCTCCGTTTTCCTCGTTCTCGAACTCCTCCTCCTCCTCCTCCTCCTCCAACTTCTCCTCCTCCTCCTCGTCCTTCTCCTCCTCGTTCTCCTTCTCCCGATTCTCCTCCTTCAAGGATGGGGCCCCCTGGATGGGCCCCATGCAGCGCCGATCCGAGAAATCCGCGCGGCCCTCCGAATTATTCTGTTTATGTCATTGCTGGCGGCGCGCACAAGGGGGTAGGGGGAGAGGGCCCCCGATAGAGAATCCGCACCTTCCTGGGCGGGCTGAGGCTACCGGGCCCCTATCGGCGATCAATGGGAGATTGGGGGTCGATGCATCCCCCCCTATGCCTATCCCCCCCTATCGTTGCCCCTGAGGAGGGCTTCTTGGAAGGAGGCTGATTCTCAGGAGGCGCCCGCCTCACATTCTATAGAGAGGGCCCGCGCCTTCAGGGAAGCAGGGGTGCTTCTAAGAAGCCCTCCCCACTCCCCCCCCCGCTGCGTGTGGCTGACTAACCACGGCGACAAACCTCAGGACCCATTTCGGCGGTGGATTAACCTCTTTTCAGCAAACCTCCCCTTAGCGAAAACGGCCTAGGGCCGAAACCGACGGACCTGGACCCGCAGAAATGACGGCCGCGACGCCCTCTCGCGAACCGAAGACGGCCAACTCGCTAATCCGACCGTTCCCCTCAGGATCGGGCGTTGGTAGAACAGGGTTTAAGGGAACCTGGTTTAGTGATATGTACCGGGGGCGCCCCCCCGTCCAATTTCCACTAACCGGAACTGCAGTCACCCGAAAAAACGCCAGCTATGGCAAACCTGGTTTCATGATTCTGGCCAACTCGAAGGCCCCAGGGCCCCACCACTAACCCGGGTCCTGGCCATACCCGACAGGACCCGCTTGCCCCCGTGGCTGCGCGCCCGCTTGCGGCGGGCGGCGTCCCGTTCTCGGTCCCGGTCGGCCCGCGCCGGGGGCGCGCGACTCCGCACCTCGGAGGGCGGCCGGCCGGCCGGCCGCGCGCACGCGCGCGGAGGCGCACTCGCACGGCGGCGGCGGCGGCGGCGAGGGCGGCGGTGGCGGCGGTCGTGGCCGCGGCGGGGCGCAGCTGAGGAGCGAGGGGGAGGAGGGAGGGAGGAGGGGGGGGGAGAGGAGGAGGGGGGAGAGGGTGGGGAGGAGGGAGAAGCGAGGGGGGGAGGAGCGAGGGGGGGAGCGAGGAGGGAGGAGGGAGGCAGAAGGGGGGAGCGAGGGGGTGGGGGGTGGGGGGGGGGAGGAGCGGTCCGCAGACGCCCCGGTCTGTCTCAGATCGGAAGCCCACCGTCACTCCTCGATCCTCCTCCCCACCCCTCCCCCCTCCATCCCCGATCATCATCATCATCATCATCATCATCATCATCATCATCATCATCATCATCATCATCATCATCATAATCATCATCATCATCATCATCATCATCATCATCATCATCGTCATCGTCATCGTCATCATCATCATATCCATCATCATTATCATCATCATCAGCATCATCATCATCAGCATCATCATCATCCTCATCACACCACCACCCCCACCCACCATCACCATCACCATCACCATCACCATAAACCATCATCCATACATCAGCAATCATCATCATCATCAGCATTCAGCATCAGCATCACACATCAACATCAACATCATGATCATCATCCTCATCGCTCATCCCTGCCTAATGCCTCATCCTCATCATCAGCATCAGCAACATCAGCATCATCATCAGCATCATCAGCATCATCAGCCAGCATCATCACATCAGCAACCATCAACATCAGCAGCATCAAGCATCTACATCAATCATCAGCATCATCACATCATCATCATCATCAGCAATCATCATCATCCATCATCAATAATCATCATTATCAGCATAAGCATAGCATGAACAGAGCATCACATCAGCATCATCATCATCATCATCATCATCATCCAACAATCAAATCATCTATCACACCATCAATCACCACACCACCACCACCATCACCATCACCATCGACCATGCACCATCACCATCATCATGATCATCATCATCATCAGCATCAGCATCAGCATCATCAACATCAACATCATGAGCATCATCCTCATCCTCATCCTCATCCTCATCCTGATCTCAGCATCAGCATCAGCATCATCAGCATCATCAGCAGCATCATCAGCAGCATCATCAGCAGCATCATCAGCATCAGCAACATCAACATCAGCAGCATCAGCATCAACATCATCATCATCATCATCATCATTATCATCATAAGCATCAGCATGAACATGAGCATCAGCATCAGCATCAGCATCATCATCATCATCATCATCATCATCATCACCACCACCACCATCACCATCACCATCACCATCACCATCACCATCACCATCACCATCATCATCATCATCATCATCAGCATCAGCATCAGCATCAGCATCATCAACATCAACATCATGAGCATCATCCTCATCCTCATCCTCATCCTCATCCTCATCCTCATCATCAGCATCATCAGCAGCATCATCAGCAGCATCATCAGCAGCATCATCAGCATCAGCAACATCAACATCAGCAGCATCAGCATCGTCATCATCATCATCATCATTATCATCATAAGCATCAGCATGAACATGAGCATCAGCATCAGCATCAGCATCATCATCATCATCATCATCATCATCACCACCACCATCACCATTACCATCACCATCACCATCACCATCATCATCATCATCATCATCATCATCATCAGCATCAGCATCAGCATCAGCATCATCAACATCAACATCATGAGCATCATCCTCATCCTCATCCTCATCCTCATCCTCATCATCAGCATCATCAGCATCATCAGCATCATCAGCAGCATCATCAGCAGCATCATCAGCATCAGCAACATCAACATCAGCAGCATCAGCATCAACATCATCATCATCATCATTATCATCATAAGCATCAGCATCAGCATGAACATGAGCATCAGCATCAGCATCATCATCATCATCATCATCATCATCATCATCATCATCATCATCATCATCATCATCATCATCCCTCTGCCCTCATCCCTCATAGGCCTTGCCCCTGTACACCCTGGCTGGCCAGCCCCCCCCACCCCTCGATCCGGCTCCCCCTCCTCCCCCCCCTCGGTCCTCGACACTGGATTCGACGAAGATGCGATATGACAGGCGAGGTCCCCCGAATATGCAGACATAACCTTGTCTCCTGCGCGCGGCCCTCGCTGGAGCCCCACCCCTCCCCCCGTCCCCCCTTTCCGTCCTCCCACTCCTCTCCTTGACCCCGCTCATTTTCCCTCCCCCCTCCTGCTGCTGCTGCTGCTCCTCCTCCTCCTGCTCCTCCTCCTTCTCCTCCTCCTGCTCCTCCTCCTCGATCCTGGATGCTCAATCGCTCCTCCGTCCAGCCATAACCCCCCTGCCTGGACCCCTTGCCGGGCTACCGCAAGCTCGTGTCGTGGCGACGCGTGCGTTGGTTTCTGATGCCGCGTGAATCGTTCGACCTTGCTCGCGTGCGGCGTTGCGATAGCGAAAATCGTCCGGCATCGGCGAGGTCTGGGCCACTGGCGGCATCTAACTCTGAAAAGATCGCGCTGGGTTCGACGATGTGTCGACGCGGCGCGAACCTGTCCGAGGGCCTAGCATTTGAGGGGCAACGATATGAGGGGACTGGAAAGGGGGAAGGGACATCGACCTGGAATCGGCGATACATTGCCCATAGATCGGCGAGAGGCCCCCGATGGCACGGCAAATCAGCACCTTCCTTGGCGGAGCGGGGCTATCAGACCCCAATCGGCGATCAATGGGCGATTGGGGGTCGATGCCTCAGCTGGACTCGACGACGCACGGTAGCTGGACTTGCCGATAGATCGGCGATAGCCCCACGGCAGCGAATCCGCACGCTCCTGGGCGGGGCGGGGCCAGCAGACCCCTATCGGCGATCGATGAGCGAGCGATTGGGGGACGATGCCTCCCCCGCCAGACCCCAGACGTCCTGATTGTTTCACAATGTCGACCCATACGGGTCTGAACCCCTTCACCGGGACTGGTTCTTCATCCCGAGTCGTTTTTTGACGGTCCCGAGGCCCGGTAAGGGCCCCCGGAGGCCGCAACAAGAGCGGACATCCCTCCGTCGCGATTGCTTCACAACGCGAGGGAGTCTGAAATCTGAAGAGGAGGAGGAGGAGCGATGAGGCGGAGCGAGGAGAAGGAGGAGGAGGTTGAGGAGTAGGAGTAGGAGTAGGAGTAGGAGGAGAAGGAGGAGGTTGAGGAGTAGGACGAGGAGGAGGAGGAGGAGCGAGGAAGAGCGAGGAGGAGCGAGGAGGAGCGAGATCGGATCGGAACGTTCTTTGGATGGGGCTGCATCGGCACGGAGTCGACACCGAATCGGATCGGCCGCGCCGGGATGCACAACAGCGCTATGCATGCAGGCGTTGGGCCGCGAGGAGAAGCGGGTCGGATCGGGAGAGCTCGGCATCGACATCGAGTCGGAGCGAATTCGAGCGTGCCTCGTCTTTTTTGGCCCTCGCCCATGGGCAACTGTGCCTCCCCAAATCACGTCCCCCCGCTATCTGTGCCTCCCCATGAAGAACTCTCGCCATCGCTCGGACGTCCATTCCCCGTGCATGTTTCGGTTTCACGCGTGTACTTTTTCAAACTATGATCCCAGATGCTAAATGGTCCTCGCCGAAAAAAAGCGCACACGTCCAAGCGATGCAAAGATACCACGCTCTTCATCTGCTCTCTTTCGCCCAGCTCTTAAATACCTCAGCCTCTGCAGATCGGCCTGCCGCGATGTATATTGGTAGCCACATGAATGGAGAACAACCGCTGAACATCATCGACGTGACACCCCCACACGAGTAGTCAGCCTGAGCTCTGAAACCCAGGCGTCCGATGCCGCGCTCTTTTGAACGTGGGCTCCTGATGCTCCCGACCCCATCCCCGAGACCTGCTTCTCATCGCGGGCGGATCTTCGGATTGCCCCTGGATTGCCATCGCTCGGACGTCCACTCCCCAGATATTTTCCGGCTTCGGGCGTTTATTTTCAAAATGCTCCTCGATGGTCCTCGCCGAGAAAAAATACACACCTCCGAGCGATACCAAGCTGGGCCCGAAACAGGCCACTGGAGGCCCGAGATATGAAGCCACGCCCGTCGCGCTTCTCTTTCTCTCTCTCTCTCTCTCGCGCGACAAATTGAGGCCTGGTCCTTCCACACGATTGGTCGGCCGAGCCCCAGACCCCCCATGGGCACGATCCTGACCAGCTCTACGAGCTGCGTTTAGCCATGCCAACGAGGAATCCGCAGCAGACCAGCAGGAGAGACCACAACCATCAAGCTCCTGCCAAGTCCACCCTCCTCGTCCGTCCCGCCGACCCCTCCACCAAAGAGAGAGAGAGAGAGACTTGAGCAGGAACCGACCGTCCAGGCATTCCTATAGGCCAACCACGACATGCTCTTAGAACCAAAGTATGTGCTATGAACAAAAGCATTGTTCTTAAGACAGTAAGCCTATGTTCAGACAAGACGGTGTCAGCAAGACATGTTCAAATAACGTTTCGTGCAGACCACAAAAGGGTCTTAGAACATTGTTTGGTGGGCATATGGGCAAGCCAGGACGTTTCGCCACTGCATGAGAGACCGCAGACCCCCTCCAGCGCGCCTCGGCCTTTCTCGGCTCCGGCGGCGGTGGCCGCGGGGGGGGCTCTACCTCGGGCGCTTGGAAGCGCAGGCCGCGGTCGTCGCCGCCGCCAGGGAGAGGAACAAGGATCGGCCCGGAGGAAAGGGTGGGTTATTTTGCCATCGCTCGGGCGTCCACTCCCCGTGCCTCTGTCGGCTTCGTGCGCTTCTTTTTCCGCAGAGATGACCCCAAAATGCTCATCGATGGCCCTCGCCGGAAAAAGTACACTCGTCCGAGCGATGCCAAGTTCGCCAATGGCGAATCGGCTCACGCAGCAGGCTTTCGCGGCACCCACCAGCACAGGGAGGCGCCAAATGTTTGAGGAAAGGCGCCCAGCGGGGAGACCAAACCAGCTGCACGCAGCAACTTTCGTACCCCCCCCCCTTCCCTATCCCCCCTTTTTCGTCCGTCCTGGCCTCGTCGTCTGTTCGGCCTCCCTGGGGGCCCTCGTGACCACGGTCAGGCGCAGCTCACACGACTGGCCAGGAGGGTGTCCTGGACTGGGAGGAGGAGGAGGATGAGGAGGAAGAGGAGGAGGAGGATGAGGATGAGGAGGAGGAAGAGGGGGAGGAGAACCAGGAGGAGGAGGAGGAAGAGGAGGCGGAGGAGAGGAGGAGGAAGAGGAAGAGGAGGAGGAGGAGGAGGAGGAGGAGGAGGAGGAGGAGGAGGAGGGCGAGGAGGAGGAGGAGGAGGAGGAGATGAGGATGGCGAGGAGGAGGAGGAGGGCGAGGAGGAGGGGGAGGAGGAGGAGTAGGATCGGGAAGGAGGATCGGATCGGACGAAAGGGGGGTGCAGGAGAGGGCAGGGTTTTGGCGAAACAGCTCGCGTGGCAGATTGGTCCAGCTCCTCCCTGCGCCGGACGCGCAAATGTATAAAGGAACGCGCCCGGGGGCTGAGACGAAACCAACCGCCGACGTCCGGCGTCGTCTTCGTCGTCGTCGTCGTCGTCGGCGGCTGGTTTCGTTTCCCCTCTCCTTTCCCTATTCCCCCCCGCGAGCCCCCCCCTCGACCCCCCTCGTCGTCGTCGGTCGCACCCCCCCAACGCCTCCCTGCGCCTGGCGCGCCAGCGTACCGAGGAAGGTGCCTGGCGGCGAAGACGAAACCAGCCGAAGCATATTTCGTACCCCCCCTGCTCCCACTTTTCCTGTCCGCCCCCCCCCCATCCCTTCCCTATCCCCCCCACCCCACCTCTCCTTACTCCCCCCCTTTCCGTGCCGCCTCTCCCCTTCACCCCGTTCCCTGGCCCGAGAAGGTGGCCCTCAGAGCCGTGCGCCGCGGCGACACCGCAGGTCGGAGCGGGCGCCGCGATGTGCCGCGGAGGGCCCGGGGGGTCGGCCTCCTCGCGGCCTTGCACGGCGCCGCACCTCATCGTGTCGGGGGGGCCTTCGGCCTCGAGTGAAGGGGCCCTGGGACACACAAATAAATACGCACAAGTAAAAGGATTCCCCATATTTTCTCATATTTCCTAGGTTTTTGTCTTCCCCCCCACGTCCCATATACTGTTGAAGCGGTTAATATTACAGTAATAATTCCCTGAACAATTTTTCCGGTAATGTAATGGGCGTGCGTGACTTTCTGGTTGGATTTGTTTGTTCAGGAAGGTGGGTGGATTCTAGAAGGGAATTAACAGGAGTTGGGGAGGATTTGGGAATTGGGGGGGGGGTACAAAGGAAAGAGCAGGAGTTGGGAAGTTGGGACCCGGGGATGATTCTACAAAGGAAAGAGCAGGAGTTGGGGGGGATTCTGGAATTGGGGAGGATTCTACAAAAGGAAAAAAGGAGGAGTTGGGGAGGATTTGGGAATTGGGGAGGATTCTACAAAGGAAAAGGAGGAGTTGGGGAGGATTTGGGAATGGGGGGGGGTTCTACAAAGGAAAAAGGAGGAGTTGGGGAGGATTTGGGAAGTGGGGAGGATTCTACAAAGGAAAAAGGAAGGGTTGGGGAGGATTTGGGAATTGGGGAGGATTCTACAAAGGAAAAAGGATGAGTTGGGGGGGATTTTGGAATTGGAAATGATTCTACAAAGGAAAAAAGTAGAGTTGGGGAGGAATTTGGAATTGGGGAGGATTCTACAAAGCAAAAAAGAGGAGTTGTGGAGGATTTGGGAATTGGGGGGAGGGGGGGCTTCTACAAAAGAAAAAGGAGGAGTTGGGGAGGATTTTGGAATTGGGGAGGATTCTACAAAGGAAAAAGGAGGAGTTGGGGAGGATTTTGGAATTGGGGAGGATTCTACACAGGAAAAAAAAGAGCTGGGGAGGATTGAGGAATTGGGGATGATTCTACAAAAGGAAAAAGGAGGAGTTGGGGAGGATTTGGGAATTGGGGTGGATTCTACAAAGGAAAAAGGAGGAGTTGGGGAGGATTTTTGGCATTGGGGAGGATTCTACAAAGGAAACAGGATGAGTTGGGGAGGATTTGGGAATTGGGAAGGATTCCACAAAGGAAAAAGGAGGAGTTGGGGAGGATTTGGGACTTGGGGAGGATTCTACAAAGGAAAAAAGATGGAGTTGGGGAGGATTTGGGAATTGGGGAGGATTCCACAGGAAAAAAAGGAGTTTGGGGGGGATTTGGGAATTGGGGAGGTTTCTACAAAGGAAAAAGGAAGAGTTGGGGAGGATTTGGGACTTGGGAGTATTCTACAACGGAAAAAGAAGCTGGGGAGGATTTGGGAATTGGGGAGGATTCTACAAACGAAAAAGGAAGAGTTGGGGAGGATTTGGGAATTGGGGAGGATTCTACACAGGAAAAAGGAAGAGTTGGGGAGGATTTGGGAATTGGGGAGGATTCTACAAAGAAAAAGACGGAGTTGGGGAGGATTTGGGAACTGAGGAGGATTCTACAAAGGAAAAAGACCGAGTTGGGGAGGATTTGGGAATTGGGGAGGATTCTACAAAGGAGAAAGGGGAGTTGGGGAGGATTTGGGAATTGGGGAGCGTTCTACAAAGGAATAAGGAGGAGTTGGGGAAGATTTGGGAATTGGGGCGGATTCTACAAAGGAAAAAGGATGAGTTGGGGCGGATTTGGGAATGGGGTGGGTTCTACAAAGGAAAAAAGAGGAGTCGGGGAGGATTTGGGAATTGGGGAGGATTTTACAAAAGAGAAAGAAGGAGTTGGGGAGGATTTTGGAATTGGGGAGGATTCTACAAAGGAAAAAGGCTGAGTTGAGGGGATTCTTTGGGAATTGGGAAGGATTCTACAAAGGAAAAAGGATGAGTTCGGTAGGATTTGGGGATTGGGGAGGATTCTACAAAGGAAAAAGGAACAGTTGGGGAGGATTTTGGAATTGGGGGGGAATCTTCAAAGGAAAAAAAAAGAGTTGAAGATGGTTTGGGAATTGGGGCGGATTCTACAAAGGAAAAAGGAAGAGCTGAGGAGGATTTGGGAATTGGTGAGGGTTCTACAAAAGGAAAAACGATGATTTGGGGAGGATTTGGGAATTGGGGAGGGTTCTACCGAGGAAAAAGGAGGAGTTGGGGAGGATTCGGGAATTTGGGAGGATTCTACAAAAGGAAAGAGGAGGAGTTGGGGAGGATCTGGGTATTTGGGGAGGATTCTACAAAGGAAAAAAACAAGTGGGGAGGATTTTGGAATTGGAGAGGATTCTACAAAGAAAAAGACGGAGTTGGGGAGGATTTGGGAACTGAGGAGGATTCTACAAAGGAAAAAGACCGAGTTGGGGAGGATTTGGGAATTGGGGAGGATTCTACAAAGGAAAAAGGAAGAGTTAAGGGATGATTTGGAAATTGGGGAGGATTCTACAATGGAAAAAAATGGTGAGATGGGGAGGATTTGGGAATTGGGGAGGATTCTACAAATGGGAGAGGGATGAGTTGGGGAGGATTTGGGGATTGTGGAGGATTCAACAAACGAAAAAGGATGAGTTGGGGAGGATTTGGGAATCGGGGAGGATTCTAAAAAAGGAAAAAGGATGAGTTAGGGAGGATTTGGGAATTGGGGAGGATTCTACACAGGAAAACTACGGACTTGGGGGGGATTTGGGAATTGGGGAGGATTCCGCAAAGGAAAAAAGGTGTGTTGGGGAGGATTTGGGAATTGGTGAGGATTCTACAAAAAAGGAAAATGAATAGTTGGGGAGAATTTGGGAATTGATGAGGATTCTACACATGAAAAAAGAAGAGTTGAGGATGATTTGGGAATTGAGACGGATTCTACAAAGGAAAAGAGGAGGAGCTGGGGGGGATTTGGGAATTGGGGAGGATTCTACAAAGGAAAAAGGAGGAGTTGGGGAGGATTTGGGAATTGGGGAGGGTTCTACCAAGGAAAAAGGAGGAGTTGGGAAGGATTTGGGAATTGGGGAGGATTCTACAAAAGGAAAAAGGAAGAGTTGGGGAGGATCTGAGTATTTGGGGGAGATTCTACAGCGGAAAAAAAAAAACGAGTTGGGGAGGATTTGGGAATTGGGGAGGATCCTACAAATGAAAAAGAGGGAGTTGGGGAGGATTTGGGAATTGGGGAAGATTCTACAAAGGAAAAAGGAGGAGGTGGGGATGATCTGGGAATTGGGGATTATTCTACCAAGGAAAAAATAGGAGTTGGGGGGGATTTGGGAATTGGGGAGGATTCTACAAAGGAAAAATGAGGAGTTGGGGAGGATTCGGGAATTGGAACGGATTCTACAAAGGAATAAAGGAATAGTTGGGGAGGATTTGGGAACTGAGGAGGATTCTACAAAGGAGAAAGGAGGAGTTGGGGAGGATTCGGGAATCGGGGAGGATACCACAACGGAAAAAGGGTGTGTTGGGGAGGATTTGGGAATTTGGGCGGATTCTACAAAGGAAAAAGGAAGAGTTGGGGAGGATTTTGGAATTGGGGAGGATTCTACAAAGGAGCAAGGAGGAGTTGGGGAGGATTTGGAATTTGCTGAGGATTCTACAAAAAAGGAAAAAGGACGAGTTGGGGAGGATTTGGGAATTGGGGAGGATTCTACAAAGGAAAAAAATGTTGTGGGGAGGATTTGGGAATTGGGGAGGATTCTACAAAGGAAAAAGGATGAGTTGGGGAGGATTTGGG